TTATTCATTGCAAATCCCTTTTTAAGCAACATAAAAGACGATTATACACCTGGACTTCACCAGATGAAATACACAGAAATCAAATTGACTATATCTGAGAAAACACATGGTGAAAAAGTTTCATATCATCAACCAAAACAAGACCAGGGCAGACTGTGGAACATACCATCAATTGTTCATATGCAAGTTCAGGATGAAACTGAAGAAAGTAAAAACAAGTCCACGAGAGCCAAAATATGACCTTGAACATATCCCACCTGAATTTAGAGATATCAAGAACAGATTTGATGCATTAGACACTAATGACTAAAGAACAAAAGGGATGTGGGATGACATCATGAACATCATACAAGAAGAAAGCAAATGATCATTAAGAAGACAAGAAACGAGGAAAAGACCAAAATGAATGCCAAAAGAGTCTCTGGAACTTGTTCTCCAGCCTAGATATGATAAAGCAAATGGAAGAAATGAGGAGGTAAAAGAGCTGAACAGAAAGTTTCAAAGGGCAATTCAAGAAGACAAAGTCAAATAAAATGAAATGTGCAAAGATCTGGAGTTAGAAAACCAAAAGGGAAGAAAGAACTCGTTCAGCATTTCCCAAGGTGAAAGAACTAAGGAAAAAATTTAAGCCTCGACTTGAAATATTAAAGGATTTGGGGGCAAAATATTGAAAAATAAAGAAAGCAACAAAAGAAAATGAAAGGAATACACAGAGTCACTGTCCCAAAAAGAAATGGGTGATGTTCAACCGTTTCAAGAGGTAGCATATGATCAAGTCAGTGGGACTGAAGGATAAAGTCCAATATTCACTGAAGGCATTAGCAAAGAAGAATGCTCCAGGAATTGATGGACTAAAAATTGAACCCTTTCAACAAATGGATGCAGCACTGGAGGCACTCACTCATCTATGTCAATGAATTTGGATGCCAACTAATTGTAATAGAACCATATTTCTGCCCATTCCAAAGAAAGGTGACCTCAAAGCAGGCTGAATTTATCAGACAATATCATCAACATTATATGCAAGAAAAATTTTGCTAAAGATAATTCAAAAATGGCTGCAACAGTATATTGACAGGCCAGAGGTTCAAGATGGATTCAGATGAGGATGTGGAATGAGGGATATAAATGGTGACATCAGATGAATGTTGGCTGAAGCAGAGAATACCAGAAAGATGTTTACCTGTGACTTATTGACGATGCAAAAACTTTTGAATGTGTGGATCATGACAAGTTATAGACAACGTTGCAGAGAATGAGCATTCCAGAGCACTGAACTGTGCTCATGAAGAACCTGTACATAGACCAAAAGGCAGTTATTTGAACAGAACAAGGGGGCACTGAATGATTTAAAATCAGGAAATGTGTATACCAGAGTTGTATTCTTACACCATATTTATTCAATCTGTATGCTGCACAAATAATATGAGAAGATGGTTTATAAGAAGAGGAAAGTGGTACTTGTAATAATATGTAGATGATACAGGCTTGCTTGCTGAAAGTGAAGAGGGCTTAGCATACTTACTGATGAAGATCAGAGACCACAGCATCTCAATGTAAAGAAAACAAGAATCCTCACCACTGAACCAACAAATAATATGATAAGTGGAGAAAAGATTGAAGTTGTCAAAGACTTTAGACTAGTCAATTAAAGGTAGGGTGTCTGCAAGGAGGGAATGTGACAAAGTGGCTCTGTTTGGCTGAGGACAATTGCTAGAGAAAGACTAAGCTGAGAGCTGTCAGTACTTCCAGGTACTGGGGAAATGGGTATATCGGTACTGAAATGTGACATACCATTGCATCCACTTCATCTGCATTTTCTGATCTTAAAATTGGCCCTGTCGTCCACTTTTTCCCACTCCTGACATCTCTTTTCTTTCTTATTTTTATCAAAGTCTTTCATTTTTTTATTGTTATTGTTGTTAAATTCCGTAGCATCGTTTCCGACACTTAGCGATCATCTACTGGTGGGGGTGGGGTGGGGTGTCGGAGGAGTAGCTGGTGGGTTTGAACTGCCGACCTTGTGGTTAGCAGTCCAACAGTGCCATACCTCCAGGTGCAGGTCGATTTTGTTTCAAAGGGCAACAGACAAAACGTAGTTGAACTTTCAAAGTGACCGCAGAGTCCAGCCCGCTATTTGCTTGCTCTGACCCCACTCCTCCAAGGGCGGTCCTGCAGGCGCGTCGCTACCCAGTAATCCCTGTCCGAAGAATGCACAGGGACAGCGCAGACATTTATTTACACCTCCTGGGGTATCCGCTCCTCGGAAACCCCATACAGCGTCGCCTTTAGTCGGAACCGCCACAATGGCACTTAAGAACAACGCACATGTTTGTTCCAATCTATATGGCGATCAACGTCTATATATACGCAAGTCTGTTTAAGTAACCAATCCCTTGCACTCAGCTCGGACGAGGGGCGCGAGCTCCAGACAGGAAGTGACGTGCTGTGCGCCCACGAATTCCCGCCCTGCTCTGCGCTTACCGTTCCGTGGCGGGAACTGAGGCTGATGGAGTGACGCGCCGACTGTGAGTTTTACGGGATCTGGTGTCTTGGAGCCTCCTGGGCCCGTTATTTTTAGATTGGGGCACGGAGCCAACACTTTACGACCACCTTGCCCTTTTCATCGCCCAGAAAGCTCAGGAACGAGCCGGCGCCGTCCTCGCTGCGGAGACGAGTGGCTGAAAGGCCCAGGTTATGCCCGGTTACTCGCGCGCCGAGTGGGAGCTAGCAGGTGGTGTCGGGGGAGCAGTTGCAAGGGGTGCCCTCGCCTTCTTCTCTACTACGTCTTGAGGTCTTCCACCTCCATCGTAGAGTGCACGGCAGCTGTCCCCACGCTCCCGCCTAGTCACCGTGCATCCCATGTGAAACGGTGTGCCACTAGTATGTTTCAGAGCCCTGCTTTGGGCAGTGTTAGTGGTCATCAGCCCATCACAAGCATGCTGTGATTAACGTTTAAAACCCTGTTTAACAAATGTTAGCAATATACCCACATACCAAGCACAGAACTATGTGTTTGCACATACATGCTTTCATTTAAATCGGTTACCTTATGGAATAGGCTGTAACTTCTTTTACAGAAAGGGAAATTGATTCTCTCAGATGATAATTCTTTCACTAAATATTATTACCTCTACCACGATTCTGGAGTTCTGGTGTAGTGCTGAAGGATATGCACTGGATGCAAGGTCGGGTTGAATGACAAGGTTGGCGCTTCAAACTCACCTTCCGATCCTCGGAAACCCTATACAGGGTCACTGTGAGTTAGAACTGACTCGAAGACACTTAACAACAACAACAAACCACTATTGTAGACACTAAGGAGACAGCAGGGAACAAAATTGATTTGCCACTAATACTGGAATTCTTAAGCAACCTAATGATGCTTTTCTATCCCTGATGCTTTTCTAACCTTTCCCCTGCCTGTAAGAATGTGTACTTGAATTAATTGTCTCTGGGTGGGATTTCTTAGGAATTTTTAATTCCTCATGTGTTTCTGCATTGTTTTGATTTTTAAATATAATTTTTTATTGCTGAGAATAAATGCAGTACAGCATACACCAGTTGTATTTATGTATAATAAGTGACATGTTTTGATTTCTTATAATGAGCACGTAATTAAAATATAACTCCTTCCATTTTTAACAACAGTGTCCCCTGCTTGCCCCACAAAAAAAAAAAAAAGGTCTCTGAAGGCAGCCATTGGCTCTATAGTAAAATATGTTCTGTGCTCAAGAAAAGGAGTGGAGGTTCTCATGTATGGTCCTAGCACTACTGATTGCTGAGCTCATCATCCCAGGGCCTCAGTTAGTACAAAGCCCTCGGCGGAAAAGGAAGACACTGTAGAGGCCTGCACACAGTTTGGCCTTTAGTGACATATTTATCAAAGAATTTGGAATGCTTATGAAAAGGTGCTTGGGTTCTGACTTAAGATTTATCTTTAGCTTTCTAACTCCCTAAATTCTATAACTCCTGCATTACATATGGATTGCATATAGATTCTAAGTTCCTTAAGGAACTTAGGAAAAGATGGAAGTCATCAAGCACTTCATTTTGCTTGGATCCACAATCAACTCTCATGGAAATCAACAGTCAAGAAATCAAATGACGCATTACATTGGCAGATCTGCTGTACAAAATCTCTTAAAAGTGTTAAAGAACAAACATGGCAGTTTAAGTACTAAGGCGCCCCTGACCCAAGTCATGGTGTTTTCAACTGACTCATATGTATATGAAAGTTGGACACTGAATAAGAAAGACCGCAGAAAAATCAATTTACTTGAATTATGATATTGGAGAAGAATATTGGATATACTATATACTGACAGAAGAACAAACAAATGTATCTTGGAAGAAGTATAGTTGGAATGCTCCCTAGTATTTAGGTGGCAAGACTTTGTCTCTTGTTTTTTGGATATGTCAGAATGGACCAGTCCCTGGAAAAGAACATCATGCTTAGAAAAGTGGAGTGTCAACGGAAAAGAGGAAGAACCCCCAAAAGATAAATTGACACAGTGTCAACAACAATGGGATCAAGCATAACAGCAATTATGAAGATGGCACAGGACCAGGCAGTGATTCACTCTGTTATGCATAGGGTCACTACAAGTTGGAAGTGACTCAGCAGCACCTACTAACAACAGTAACACATGCCTGTAGTTCTCAGTACAATGCATTCAGGGGACCCTAGGTCATTAGGTGATATCCTTCATTTCATATGTACTTATTGAATATCTTTGCATAAAGTTAGGGTGCTTTCAGGTAGTATATCTTCATAATGGTTTCAGAATAGCTTTTCCTTTTCTGTCTTCCATGGGTCAGGGTGATACTTCACCAGAATTGACTTCACAGCACCTAAAAACAACGACCAATTTTGATCACTTGTTTTATTGAAGGGGGATGATTTGCTGTGCTTAGATGTCTTTGAAAATCATCCACACTTGGAACTAAAAGATGCCTTAAAATGATCTAGTGTCATTTCCTTATTTTATAGATACTTCACCATGCAGGCATTTCTAAAAGGTGCATCCGTCAGTACTAAACCACAGAGCAAGGATCGAGGAGTTGCTGCCACTGCTGGAAGCAGTGGAGAGAACAAGAAAGCCAAACCTGTCCCATGGGTAGAAAAGTAGTAAGTATGCTTTGCTTTTCTTGAAACAATTAACAAAGGGCTTCTCTGCCTAGGAAGAAGCTCTGGTAGTTAGTGGGCTACGAATTAGGCTGCTAATCACAGGTTAGCAGTTTGAATCTGCCAGCCGCTTAGTGGGAGAAAGATGAGGCTTTTGCTCCTGTAAAGATTGACAGCTTTTTTGACTGCTGTAAAGATATACAGATTTGCCATGAATTGGAACCAACTCCACAGTACATAATCACCAGCACCAGGAGTTCCTGGGTAGAGGAAACTGCTAGCAACAATGTTGGCAGTTTGAGCCCCCTCAGGGGCACTTGGGAAGACCTGGCAGCATGGTGATCTGCTTCTGTACAACCATGAAAAGTATACACATGGAGTCACCATGAGTCCGAATTAACTCCACAGTAACTTAACAACTACAACAACCAGTGTTTTACTTAGAGGGCGATTTGGTTTCCTTAGATACTGTCTTTGAATATCACACAATTGTTTAGGTAACAGAGACTTGGAACTGAAAGGTGCCTTAAAATGATCTAGTTTAATTACCTTATTTCATAAATTAAACCAAGGTTTCACTACACTAAGCACTGGTGTGGTGCTGTAGGTTCAGCAACAGACTGCAAACCACAGGTCAGCAGATGAGTCGCAACTGATTCAACAGCACTTAACAACAAGTACAGTTTAGGGGCTGGATGCAGCTGTGAAGAAAATAAAGTTTCTAGGAGCCCTTGTTCAGGAGTTTATTTACATCTAAACAATCTGTTCCCTATTTCATTACTGTTGCTGTTGTTAGGTGCCATGGAGTCAGTGCCGATTCACAGCAACCCTGGAATAAAACACTGCCCAGTCTTGGGCCAACCTCACAATCGTTGCTATGTCTGAGCCAATTGCTGCTGCCACTGTGCCAATCCATCTCGTTTAGGATCTTCCTCTTTTTCTCCGACCCTCCACTTTACCAAACATGATATCCTTCTCCAGGGATTGGTCCTTCCTGATAATCTATCCAAAGTATGAGAAACAAAGTCTGGCCATCCTGGCTTCCAAGGAACATTCTGGCTATACTTCTTCCAACACAGATCTGTTCCTTTGGCAGTCCATGGTACTTTTAATATTCCTCAACACCATAACTCAGATGCATCAATTCTTCTGTGGTCTTCCTTCACTGTCCAACTTTCGCATGCATGTGAGGTTACTAAAAATGCCATGGCTTGTGTCAGGCACACCTTAGTCCTCCAACTGACATCTTTGCTCTTCAACACTTTAAAAAGGTCTTGTGCCACAGATTTGTCTAATGCATTGTGTCACTGGATTTCTTGACTGCTGCTTCCATGAGTGTTGATGGTTGATCCGAGCAAAATAAAGTCTTTGATAACTTCAGTCTTTTCTCCATTTATATTGATGTTTGTTGGTCCAGTGATGAGGGTTTTTGTTTTCTTTATCATAAGTATTTTAAGTCCTCTTCGCTTTAAACAAGGAAGGTTGTATCATGTGCATATCACATGTGATTAATGAGTCTTCCTCCAGTCCTGATGCCACATTTTTCTTCATATAACCCAGCTTTTCAGATTACTTGCTCAGCGTACAGAATGAATGGTTGAGGGGCGCGGGGGTAGTGGTCATGTGCCGTGGAGTCGGTTCTGACTCATAGTGACTCTGCATAGGGTTCCTGAGGCTGTACATCTTTATGGAAAAAGAAAGCCTCATCTTTCTCCTGTTGAGAAACCACTGGTAGTTTCAAACTGCTGACCTCAGATTAGTAGCCTGACTCATAACTAGTATGCTACCAGAGCTCCTTACAGATTGACTAAGTGTGGTGAAAGAATATAACCCTGACACACACCTCTCCTAATTTTAAACCATTAGGTATTCCCTTGTTCTTTTTAAACAACTGCCTCTTAGTCTTTGTACAGAGTCCTCATGAGCACAATTAAGTGTTCCAGAATACTAATTCTTTGCAATGTTGTCTGTAACTTGTCATGATCCACACACTCGAAAGCCTTTGCATAGTCAATAAAACACAGGTAAACATCATTCTGGTGTTCTCTGCTTTCAGCCAAGTAATTTAGTAATTTCATTACTAATAGGTAGAAATCATTAGTGTTTAAGCATTTTGGCAAAACAACACTTGAAGTGCTACATTAATTGTCAATCAGCTAAGCAATGTATGATAAAAACCCATAGCGGTCAAGTAGACTCTGACTCATGGTAACCCTGTGGGACAGAGTACACCTATCTGTGTGGTGTTTGAAGGCTATGCAGAAGCAGGCTGCCACATCTTCTCCTTTCCCATGGAGCCACTAATAGATGTGAACCACCAACATTTCTGTTGGCAGCCAAGAGCTTAAACACTGCACTGCCAGCTAAGTAAAGGGTTTGCAGATGACTTCCAGGCCAAAGAAAGCCCTCTTGTGTTTTATTTGACCCCAACAAGGACAAAATAGAAATTTTCACATAAAAAGCTAGTTTGTCCATCTTTTGGGGCAGGTAGCAATAGATGCAAATTCTCATATGACGGTTGGTGGATCTGGGCACGTCTTCTCATATTGGAAAGGGCTGTGTTCCTCATTTTGCCTTGTTGTGGTTAGGTGCCATTGAGTTAGTTCCAACTCAGCAACCCTATATAGGGTTTCCAAAAAGCAGCTGCTGGGTTTGAACTGCCAGTCTTGTGCTTTAGCAGTCCAGCGCTTTTCCTACAGAGCCATAGTCTCCATTATTTTGTCTTGTCTTATGTGTGGTTTTGTTCACTCTCAGAATCTGCCTGCCCCCAGCCAGTATTTGTATATGTGGTGCTGGTTTATGCACTATACTGGGGGTGTTGGTGGTGTGCAGTCGAGTCGGTTCTGATGCGGCGACCCTGTACAGGGTTTCCGAAGCAGTAAATCTTTTTGGGAACAGAAACCTCATTTTTCTCCCACGCAGCAGCTGGTAGAGTCTAACTGCTGACTTTGTCGTTAGCAGCTCAACTTGTAACCCACTATGCTACCAGAGGACTGTACAATACACTAGTTTCCCCGTAAAACATCTGACATTCCTGTCTAGTATGGACCTGGTTAATTCGAGAAGATTAATTAGTTAACTGAGTACGGTACCTAATCTTAGGGTTGGGAGTGTAACTCTCTTCTAGCTTCTCTTGAAACCACTAGTTAAAAATGTGAAAATAAAATTATATAATTACATTATACTTTACATTGGTTAAACTTGTTAGTCTTTAATGAAGTAAACAGGTCTCCTTGTTTATGTGCTGATGATATTGGTCTTGACAACTTTAGAACTACCTGTCTTGAGGTTAAGTAGCCCTGTTTGTTGAGTGGGTTAAGCACAGGGCTGCTAACTGCAAGGTCAGCAGTTCAAACCCATCAATAACTCAGGGGAAAGATAAGGCTGTCCATTCCTGTAAAGGTTTACAGTCTCAAAACTCCTGTAAAGCTGTTCTACTCTATCCCTTATAGGGTCGCTATGAGTCGGAGCTGAATCTATAGCAGTGGGTATTCCAGGGTTACTAAATAGTTCTTTCTTCTAAGCTTAGGTTCATGCTCTTGTCAAAATAAAATATTTTCTAAACTATTATGTACTCTTAACCATTTGGCTTTTGTAGTGTAATAAAATAAAGTCGCTGCATAATTTTTGTAACATAACATGCAAAAATGCAGATGGAAAGTGAAAAATATTTCACTCCTTCAGTTTGTATCTGCTTAAGATAAATACAGATGATGTTTCCAACTACTTACAGTTATGAAACAATTTCTCTTTTCATTGTCCTTGATATTTTTGTAGACGTGTCACTTACACTTTTCTGTGACTCCTGTGGTGGTGGTGGTAGTGGTGTAGTGGTGGTGTGCTGTGGAGCTGGTTCCAACTCATAATGACCCTGTACAGGGTTTCCAAGGCTGTAAATCTTTATGGGAACAGAAAGCCTCATCTTTCTCCTGCGAATGGCTGGTAGTTTTGAGCTGCTGACCTTGAGGTTAGCAACCTGACTCGTAACCACTATGCTGCCAGAGCTCCTTAATATATTAAATAACCTCTATTTTTTTCCAGTCGCCCAAAATGTGTGGATGAAGTTGCTTTCCAGGAAGAGGTGGTTGCAGTGTTGAAAAAGTCTTTAGAAGGAGCTGATGTGAGTTGAAAATTGTGTTTAATGTCATTGGGAGCTTAAGAATTAATTTTAAAATCCTCTTCTTTTCTTTAAAATCTCCTCCCCCCAATTAAATGTCATAAGGAATATGCAGTTGTTGTTGTTGTTGCTAAGTACTATCAAATCAGTTCTGATTCACAGTGATCCTGTATAGGATTCCCAAGGAGCAACTGGTGGGTTTAAATTGTCATCCTTGTAGTCAGTAGTCCAGTGCTTATCCTACACCACTACACCAGGACTCCTGAATATACAGCAGGCCCTTGATAGCTATATGTACAATGGATAATTAGTTCAACAAATACTTATTGAGCATTTCCTACTCACTCTTATGTGGCTTTATCATATCATACACACTAGCCAAGCAACCAGTTGTCACAGAGTTGATTCTAACCCCACATGTTGCAGAATAGAACTGCATTCCATAGGGTTTTCTTGGCTGCAACCAGGAAACAAACCACCAGGCCTTTTCCCCAAGGCCCTCTGGATCTAACCATTAATCTGTAGGGTAAAATTGCTCTAACTTGAGGATTTGGGTTAAACCACAATATAAGAAAACAATGTATATAGCATTGTGTCTCCTAGTGTAGGTTAAAATGTCCATTAGTGTCTTGCACTATAGATTATTCAGAGACCTGTGAAGAATTAGCAGTTTAAAAATGTGTGTGATGAAGTGCCCAAAGTGTTTCAAGAGCACTGTGAAGAGATGGGGGAAATTGTAAATGAAATTAGGATGTAACTTTTACGTGATTCCCAAGATTTGCCTCCCTCCCTTAATCCTGGCTGATTTTAATTAGAGATTATTTTGGTTTTGCCTGCCATTAGCACTCTTCCTGGAATTACACTACCATAGTACACGTTCCTGAAGTTATATCTATAAAACAATGTAAAAAGAGTTCTTGCTACTATTTGTTTTGATTTGAGGTAAATACCCTTTTACCTTTTAATTTTATTGTTGTTTATGATTTCAGTCCTGGTGCATTGTTGTAGGATAATGCACTGGGGTTCAAACCCACCAACTGCTCCTGAGAAACCCTGTACAGGGTCACTATGAGTTGGAACCAGCTTGACAGCACTTAACAACAACAACCCTTTCACTTTGTAATTTTATTGTCATTAACAATTTTTAATTAGTTATATTTTCACAGATGACAAGATAAGATTTATTTTAATTACTAGTCTTTTCAACTATGGGCAAATGTAGTAGAATTATGATCCAGTTCCTTATGTCATGCATCTAACATACGACACTGAATAAAAAATTTGATCTTTAACCTCTTGGTTAATATTTTGTGTTTCTTTTAAGGCAAAGTTTTGTAAAACTTAAAGATGAATGATTTTTTTTTTTTTTTTTTCCTAAACTTTACATAGCAAAGGGAAATATTTCTTTCTTTATTTTCTTTGAAGGGTTAAAGTACAGTTAATGCCTGACTTACTATGGGGTTCTAGTCCAACAAACTCCTTTGTAAATCAGCTGCTTTTTTTTTTTCTCCTCATTATTATTGCTTTTGATGGTCAGTATCTATAGAAACCCAACCTCTCAGCATCTGTGAGTGAACATCTGAGAATAACAGCAAATTACATGCTTCAACGTTATATGTATGTAGTATATATTGTTAACAATAAAATGTACACACACACCCCCAAATAAATAAAAGGCCAGGTGATCTTAAATGTAGTTTTGTCTAACTCAAATATATTTTAAGTCAGGGTCTACTTGTGTATTAAGAGGATTTTATTCAGAAATCAGTTTTAAAAACTGATACTAAACTTACAGTTCTGGAATGCACCACATATATCTATCAATCATCTGTTGCTAAGTACCGTGGAGTCAGTTCTGACTCATAGCAACCCTGCACAAGGTTTCCAAGGCTGGAAATCTTTATGGGAGCAGAAAGCCTCATCTTTCTCCTGCAGAACAGCTGGTAGTTTCGAACTGCTGACCTTGAGGTTGGCAGCCCAACTGTACTAATACGTAACCACCACGCTACCAGAGCTTAATCATATAATGAAGCTTTAATAGTTTTATAGTGTTAAAAAAAAGATTTTAAGAATATTGTATATGGTTGATACCTGAATGAATTGTTCAAATGTTGAGTCATGCACAGATCATAATAATAGTTATAACCTTAAAAACTAAGAGGCCTAGAAGTTTTGTATTTTGTTTTTAAGCTCTGTAGTAGCTATGTAACAAGAATAGTCTTCTGACTAACAGATTTGTCTCTATGTCAGCGTATACAAATAGATAATTGAGTACTGCAGTAGATGGCTGGAAATACAGACATATACAGGACAAATAAGGTTTTTGGTCTTAAATTTTACATCTAGTGAGGGAGATCGGCATTTTACAACTAAACCCAATAGAAAAATAAGTGATGAATAAATGCAAATTGTAACAACTGCCATAAAGCTTGTGTGAGAGACTAACGGGGGATTCGCTTTCAAAAGGGTGATTAGGAAAGACTTCTGACTTAGGAGTTGGCCAGGCAGGAAGAAAAGGTCAGATCCCAGTTTGTGGGAACAGCAGCTTTTTTTGTATTCTTCTTGAGTGTTAAGTCAGAGTGATAGGAATGAAGAAGTTTAGGCAAGAGTGGAAGCAATTAAACTACATTACCTACTTCTATATGCAGTGATTTCCCTATATGAAAAGACATATTGAAAAATATAGTTTTTTAAAAGAGCTCATAGAATTTTGTTCATTAATTCGTTAATCTTTACCACAGATCAGTTCCTTCCTTAATATAAGCCAAAATAGCTAAATCCAAGGTATAAAAGGAGATGGTGCAGTGGTTGTGCGCCACCGAGTTGGTTCCAACTCATAGCTATATCAGGTTTCCAAGGCTGTACATCTTTGCGAGAGCAGAAAGCCTCACCTTTCTTTGGCTAGTAGATTTGAACTACTGACTCTGCAGTTAGCAGCACAACTCGTAATCCCCTATGCTACCAGAACTTCTTATAAGAGAAGATAGCTAATCACTTAAAATCTTATCCTCCCCTTCCCTCTGATGAATGGTCCCTAATTCATGCGGGCATCTCTGCATTGTGCACAGTCCCTGGCACTTGATAGGTGCTTAATTTATTTTTAATGCTTCTGATCTTGGGAAAAGCCTGCTACACCGTTTTTGCTCCTTTTTTTCCCGTTTGTCAAATTCAATGGTACCAGTGGTCTCTTTGTACTCTTAAACAACTGACATCTTTAGAAGATACAAACTCTCACCCAGTCCTCTACAAAGCTTTGGAATAAATAACTAACAGATGCCTGGGATTCCCTTCACAAATAATACCAAAAAACCTCCAAACCCACTGCCATTGAGTCAATTCTGACTCAGTAGCAACCCTCTATAGGGTTTTCAAGGATGTAAATCCTTATGGAAGCAGAAAGCCTCATCTTTCTCCTAAGGAGCATCTGGTAGGTTTTTTGTGTTTTTGTTGATATTAGGAAGTCTGATATGTTGTAGACATTCTTAGTTATTATTTTTTATCTGTTTGTGCCAGAATATAATTTATACAAATAAAATTTAATTTCTACAGCTTCCAAATCTCTTGTTTTATGGGCCACCTGGAACTGGAAAAACATCAACTATATTGGCAGCAGCTCGAGAACTCTTTGGGTAAGTTGAGATTTTATTTATTTATTTTTTTTACACCAAAAAAAATCTCTGTAACTGTCTCTTTCCCTAAAGATTTATATTTGAATTCTCTGTAGGGTTGTTTGTTGGATTTCTTTATTTTTCTATTTTATTAATCCAGTGAGCCCATTACCCTTTCCTCACCTCTCTCCACTCCCCCCTCCAATAAATTACCTTGCCTACATCTTTGTACTTCTCATTCAAATGTGCTTTTTAATGTGCTATAACATAGGGAGCCTTGTGTTGTTTTTTTTCCTTCCCATCACTTTCTTTAACTTTTTTGTTAAGATTTTGGAGCCCAGAGGGCACACCCCACCTCCAGGCATACAGAGACAGGTTGGGTCCTCTTACTGATAACCTGCATATCTGTGTGGTTGTTTAATTTAATTGGCTGTATCTGATGCTGTTGACCCCCCTGCCACTCCTTGGGTTCCCTGTGCTCTTGCCTTCTGAGGTGCAGCCTCGAGGTTAGCCGCCTGATCTCACGTTCCCTGAGTAGAAGCAGAATAGGTAGTAGTTGCTGTAGTGTGTTCCACTGCACCAGAAAATCTCTCTGCAAGCTATCTTTGTAGTTTCTCCTTAGATTCACTCTTTGGCCTTTGCCAACCATTCAAGAGCCCTTTACCTAGAGATTAAAAAAAAATATGTGAGGGGACTTCAAAAAGTTTTTGCAAAAAATGGAATGTAAAGGTAATGGAAGTTTTCCACAAACTCTTATATGAGATCTCTGGAACATGCACCAAGATAGCAATGGCTCTCTTGAATTTTGGGGTATTTGGCCAAAGGGCACATCTGAAATCTTGTATATAAAAATAATAATTCAAACATGTCCTTGAAGCCACCAAATATGTAAGAACCATTGTTGTTGGTGGTGGTGGTTCCAACCCATAGTGACCCTATATAGGGTTTCATTAGTCTTGTCAAAATATAAAAAAGGAAAAAGCAGGAAGTTGCTGTGAGCCTAACATTTCTTTGTCAGCAACTTTTGTTTCTCAAGAAATTTATGAAAGAGCATCTCTTGTTATTTCTCAACTCAATCAGATCCAGGCTCAACTAACCTTACTGCTGTAGTCATAATGAAACTGTTTAGGCGTTAATTATTTGTTACATATTCTGTATAAAATACATAGCGCTTGTTCTTCTAGAACTAACAGGGAATCTAAATATTTACACCTATGGAAAAACGCTTAGAATATCATGTTAATTGGGGAAAATGAAGAACTATAAATGAAGTTGGCTGTGCCCGTAAAGTCCCAAGAATCCCTAAGGAGCAGTTCTACTCTGTCCCACCAGGTCACTATGGGTTGGAATCAGTGGATTTGGTGTTACTCTGTTGAGGCTAATTTTGGAGTATGAGATTGCTCAAATTTTTTTCCCATGTAAATTAATGATAATTGCTTCTTTTGCTTTAAGTGGTTTCAGCATACAAAAAGTTTCATTAGGAATATTCTTTCAAATAGCAACAACACTTTCAAATAGCAGGGGAAACCTGTATATATGTAGAAAGACAGGTTGTTGTTGTTAAGTGCCATTGAGTCGGTTCCGACCCATAGCGACCCTGTACAGGGTTTCCGAGGCTGTAAATCTTTACGGGAGCAGAAAGCCTCATCTTTCTCCCGCGGAGCGGCTGGTAGTTTCAAACTGCTGACCTTAAGGTACACAGCCCGATTCGTAACCCCTACGCTACCAGAGCTCCCAGGTAGAAGAAAGTTTTCAGAATAATTGCTTGGCAAGTTGTGCTAGTCATTTAAAAATTTCTTTTGGTTTTCTAAGTTTTCTACAGTGAGCATATGCACTTTTAAATAAACAAAAACACTCACTCAAAAAAAAAAAACTGTTCATGCCTTAACTCATTTTCGTTGTGCAAATAAAAATGTGCTATTTTGCAACATATACTTTAAATTGTAATATATTTAAAACAGATTGTCTAACAATTGTTGTTAAGTGAGGAGTCAGTTCAAACTCATAAGACCCTGTATAGGATTTCCAAGGAGCAGTCGGTGGGTTTGAATTGCTGACCTTGTGGTTTACAGTGCAATGCTGACCATACAGTGACACACCAGTAGCCCTGTCTACCAATAGAAGAATGTTAATTAAGTAAACAATGGTAGTTCCAAGAGTGGAATATCAGACACCTATTAAAGTGGTGTTTACAATGATTTTGATCACATGGTTAAATGCTTACAATACAATGCAAAGTAGAAAACTAATTTTAAAATATATATATTGTTATGTTTTTTAAAAAAACAAATATAAAAAGTGCCAAAAATGTTAGTACAATCACTTGTATCTTGTATTACTCGAAAGTATGTAAATATTAAAATGTAGTGTAAATCTGGGTTATTTTTATGCTGTATGCTGTTTTATATTTGTTTCATTTTGCCATAGGCCTGAACTTTTTCGATTGAGAGTTCTTGAGTTAAATGCATCTGATGAACGTGGAATTCAAGTAGTCCGAGAGAAAGTGAAGACATTTGCTCAATTAACTGTGTCAGGAAGTCGCTCAGAGTAAGCAAGCCTGCTTCCTCTATGGCATGTCGGATTCCCAACTCCATTTTTATGTTTGATTGTATTTTTATCTAAATTATTTAAGCTTATTTTCTATTATAATAACTCAGTTTTAAGTTGCATAGCCCTCAAGGTTTTTACTGATATTTTATCTAAGGAGTATTTATTAATCATATTTGATAGTCTTGTAGTATCTAATCATTACAAAAATCCCTTTCTGTCAGATAACTTTAGCTTTAGTATGTGCTTTATAAAGCTAGGGTGACCAGCTTTAGAATGGATGAAAATATTACTAATTATAATAAAGCTACCTTAGTATACAAGAGGGGGTTGACAGAGGAAAGATGAAGGTAATAGAAGACACACAGAGGAGTACAAGAGTTAAACTGAATAAAGGTAAATACAGTTAATTGATGGTGCATGGAGGGATTGCAGTCATTACAATGAAACAAAGTATTTGGCTGTTAGAATATGAAACTGATGATCTGCTCTATAAACCTTCAGTGAAGTTTTTCTTCTTTTTTTTTAAATTCAAAAGACCACACACACAAAATTTTGATCTTACCCTGAAGTAAACAGTGATGTACTTCTGTATCCTATACTCCTTAGGTGGCAAAAGTTCTGAGATTAAATTTTTGGACCCTGAACACATACACACATATAAATTTTATTATCAAAACACAAAACATATTGCAAAATTCATAGAAAGTGAGTGACTAATTTTGTGATACTTACCGTGAATCAACAGTAGTCATAAAATACCACATATTATATGATCTTGTGATGAGTTAGACAAACCTCTAGAGAGAGAAAGTAGATGCGTGGTTGCCTTGGGCTGGGGGAGTTGGAGGAGTGACTCCTAATGGATATAGGGTTTCTTTTTGAAGTCATGAAGATATTCTTAAGAATAGTGGCATTGGTTGTATAGCCCGGTGAATTTCTTTAAAAAATGTATACTTAAAATGGGTGAATTATATGGTTTATGGATGATATCCCAGTAAGACTGTTAACAAAAAACAATGTCCACATATCTTAGTAGTATTAACTCTAATGTGCTTCCCTGAATCAGTGGGAAGCCATGTCCTCCTTTTAAGATTGTGATTCTGGATGAAGCTGATTCCATGACCTCAGCTGCTCAGGCAGCTTTACGACGTACCATGGAGAAAGAGTCTAAAACTACCCGCTTCTGTCTCATCTGTAACTATGTCAGTCGGTATGTATAAGGTCCTTAGCCAAGATAGATTGTTGCTCTCATTGTTAAATACCATCCAGTCAGTTCTGACTCATACCGACTCTGTGTAGGATTTCCAAAAAGTGGCTGGCAAATTTAAACCACCAATCTTGTGGTTCAAACTGACATTGAGGTCGAGTGCTTATCCTGTAGTGCCATACCAGGACTCCAGGATAGATGGTTGTTGTTAAGGGTCTTTGAGTTAGTTCCAACCCATACTAATACTGTATAGGCTATCTGAGGAGAAGCTGGTGAGTTTGAACAACCACTGAGCTTGTGATTTAAACTGACCTTGTGGTCCAGTACATTATCTGATTTTGATAATCCCAGTTAGAAAGGAATCAATTTACTAATGCTTTCAAGGCAACATTTCTTTAATTGCTCCTCCATCAATCAAACTGACTAGGTTTTATTAAATTCTTTCTTTAGGCCCTGACTTGTTTTCCAATCTTCTCTTTTACAGAATAATTGAACCCCTAACCTCTAGATGCTCTAAATTCCGCTTCAAACCTCTGTCAGATAAAACTCAACAGCAGCGATTACTAGACATTGCTGAGAAGGAAAATGTCAAAATTAGCAATGAGGTAACTAATGTTATTTACTAATATATTTGATGAATGCAAACGGGGAGGCCCTTAAACGTGTCAATCCTGATGCCAGTTCTTCAAACAAACTGAGCAGCAGTTGGAATGCTTAAGAATTATTAAGTTCAGCCTGTTATTATTGAAGAGGCATTAATGCTAGTTTGTTATCTGTTAATATTTTAGAAAATCAAACAGGCAGATTTCATGCATATACATTCTTCAGTAATACCTCTCTGCATAATGACAAGATAGTAGTCTCCTAGCTAATATCTGACTTTAAGAAGTTAAGTTGGTATGACATTCTGGGCCTGATAACATTGTTGTAATAAGACTTTTACCTAATTCACACTTTTTCCGCTTTCTTCATGTGATTTAAAAAAAAAAAAAAAAAAAAGAGCACGGAACATTTTTTCATCTCTGAATGTCTTTCAAAGCCAGAGATCTCTTTTTTATCCTATTTGGACTGATGCTTTCTCTGAGTTCTCCCATTGACTAAATCTACAGGTTAAAAAAACACTTTTTTTTCTCTTAAGGGAATAGCTTATCTTGTTAAAGTATCAGAAGGAGACTTAAGAAAAGCCATTACATTTCTTCAAAGTGCCACGCGATTAACAGGTGGAAAGGAGGTCACAGAGAAAGTGATCACAGACATTGCTGGGGTAAGAGCATTAGATACTCGATTTCTCTATATTGACTTTAAAAAAAATATTTTCATCCAATGTGTGCTGAATGCTTACTGTGTCACTGCACTGTATAAATAAAATAGTACAATTTAGGCATAACCTGAGAACATCAGACTGCTTTAGGATGGTGTTACGTGCAGTAGATTCTAAACCATAGCGACCCTGTATAGGGTTTCTGAGGAGCAGCAGGTGAGCTTGAACCTTGCAATTCAAATGACTTTGCAGTCCAGCGTATTAACCCACAGTGCCACATCAGGACTTGGCAGTACTAAATTGATCTTTTTCAAAGTTTGTCAGACATGTTTAATAGCAAGGTATATTTCAGGAAGCTATATAATGAACTTACACTAGTTTAAGTGGTAAATTATGTGGCATTAAAAATTGTTTTAGCAAATATCCTGTTCTTCCATATAAAAATCTGTACATGGGTGGGTCATGTATAAACATGGCTTCATATCCTTCAAGTGCTGTCGAGTTGGTTTTGACTCAGTAACCCTATATAGGGTTTGTGAGGAAGGGCTGGTGGGTTGGAACTGACCTTGGGGTTAGCAGTCCAGGACTCCAGTGTTATAGTACCCTTATATTCTAGAATGTCAGTTGAAATCCACTAAACTGCTCCTCTGGAACCCTATATAGGATTGCTCAGCCAAAACCAACTCCATGGCACTTTCCACTGTTGGGATGCAAATTAACATAATGGAACCACTCAAGTTTATTGGCAAGGAGTCTTGGTGGGAGGTAGTGCTGGTGCACGTTTTTCATACAGCAACCCTGTGGGTTTCCAAAGATGTACACCTTTGCAGTGGATGACAACCAGCTGTAGGGAGATTTAAAAAATTCACCTGTAAATTTAGCTTTTACAACCATTAGCTTTCCAGATCAATTTATATGGGTATCAGCTGTTTTATGGCAGGTCTAGGTTACAAGACTAGGCAGTAACTGAGCTTTCAAAAATTTTTAACTTTTTTAGGTAATACCAGCTGAGACAATTGATGGAATATTTGTTGCATGTCAGAGCGGCTCTTTTGATAAACTAGAAGCTGTGGTAAAGGTAAAATGTATTACTGGGGCTTTATTATTAGTAAGGAATAACTGAAAATTGGGAATTAATCAAATGAAAACTTCTGTTATAAAGGACCTGATTGATGAGGGTCATGCAGCAACCCAAGTTGTAAATCAACTTCATGATGTGGTAGTAGAAAACCACCTTTCTGATAAACAGAAGTCTATTATCACAGAAAAGCTTGCAGTAAGTAGACATTTTCACATGTTCTGAACACCTTTAAAGTGTTCTTCACTTGCTAACAGTTTTCCTTGTATTCCTTATAGGAAGTGGATAAATGCCTAACAGATGGTGCTGATGAACATCTGCAGCTGATTAGCCTCTGTGCTACAGTAATGCAGCAGTTAACTCAGAATTGTTAAGATTGCATTGTAATGAATCCTTTGTGGTGTTAATAAAAAGACAAAAATCCATTTAAAGTGAATATACAATTTATTTAACATTCAAACTTCATTAAGACATGTGCAATATGGCAAATTTGACTGGGGGTTTAACCCTAGCTAGGATATGATCGCTTGCTGGGGGGCTTAGCAACAGGGTCCAGGTTCACACTTAACACTAATTAAATACTTTATTGAATAAATACAATACCAAACAAATGCATTCTAAAATAAAAAAATCACTCTTAAGGCCTTTCTTATTCAGGCTGATGACAAACACAATAAAGGCAGATATGCTAGTTTAACATAATTGGCTGATTTAATACAGCACTTATATCTTTTAGTCCACAAGAATATTATTAAATGATAGAGAACATCTAATACAACCATTTCTACAGTACTAGGAAATAAATTTCTAAGAAAGAAAGATTTTACAGACCCCATCTTTTATACCCAAACCCAACAGTCTACTCTAAAGAGGATGAAGTCAATGACTTTCCTCACAAGAGCTTACGACTTTAGTCGCTTTGCTATCAAAATCTGTATTTCTGATCCGTTATGAGCATTGAGACACAAGATTCAAATATTCCCAAAGAAAGAAACAATGCACGTTGTGATCGCCCATTCAGCAACAGGGAGCACGGCATTCAGAACTCTCATCCTGGGAATTAAATAAGGTCAGCCACATTCATTGGCATTTCCTCCACTGTAGTATTGTAGAAAGTCTCAATGTCACGAAGAATCCTCTTGTCTTCTTCAGTAACAAAGTTTATAGCCACACCTTTCCTCCCAAATCGACCCCCTCTGCCAATCCTGTGTAAAAGGAAAAAAAATCAGCCATCAGTTATGTTACTTCACAAGCACTGTTATGAATTACTGCACATGTCGATCCACTTGTTAACCATCAGCGGCTGTTTACTTATCAAGGTTATAGATTTGTGCTTCTAATTGGAGCAATAGCTTCTACTCAAAGAGTCCTCCTTTGCAGTAAGTGCCAAAAGGATGCAAAGGCTGTCTGGCTGCAAAAATGAGATTTTAACAGGTGCCTTGAGCATTATTTTTTATAAAGCAGGTGACAGTATATATAGTGTTTGGGGTAGTGAAATTAAAGCCCATACCAAACTGGGCCAGCCAAGAGCAGGTGTCAGCCTGGGACAGATGTAAACCACCAGGGATGAAACAGAAAGAACAGTTATGTAATGTAATCCATTTCGACGCACTTCTGGAACTGTAAATACAAATGGTGCAAGGTTAACTACTCTCTAAACCTTTTTTTTTTCAGTGGGAAAACAAAATTTTGGTATGGTAACCCAAACTTATCACTGCTTTTTTGCTCAGTTTCAGTTTGTCCCACACACGTAAAAACTCAAATTACTCAAACGTGTTTAATACCTCCAAAGCATCTACCTATCTGATACAGACAATACAAAACCACCTAAGAAAAAGGCTAACATGGAAGAAAAAAAAAATGCTTGACTGGAGCAACTTAAATATCAAATAATCATGACAAAAGAAAAACAAATATAAATACCGACTCGCTCTTTATTCAAACAGTGTGCTGTTTCGCTTATGATTCCACGTCCTAAATTACGTCGCCGTTTCTGAGCGCCATCTCGTCATCAACTGCTGCTATCGACTCCTGTATTTTTTAAAAAGTCTTTTTTTACATCACATAACAAAGCACAATTCAATTTATTTAGGGATAAAGCCACTATTAACTAACCAGGGAACTCAAAATTGCTACCAGATGGCACCAAGAAAATCCCAACTACAGAGGAATCAATGATGAAGAAAGCACATGTAAACCACAAGAGCAACATGAAAAGTCAAAACACCTAAGCTAAGTCCAACCTATTTAAACCTGCTCCTGTAATAAACTTCATAATTGGGGCAAACATTGTAAACTGTTTTCCCACTGTGTACTGACAAGTCTTCCCACTCTTCTGATCACTTTAATTATGAGGTCATTTTTACATTTTTAATTATGAGGTCATTTTTCTACATCAATTCCCTGATTTGATGTTACCGTTCAGGAAAAAAAGTTATTTAAATTTACTTTACCAATATAAAGATGCCATCAACTCACCTGTGAATATAATTTTCACGATTGGTAGGTAGATCGTAGTTAATTACCAAAGACACTTGTTGTACATCAATCCCACGAGCCTAAAATACAATTGGTTATATGTTCAAATGCTCATCCAGAAAAAAGTAGACACCTATTAATGTAGGCCACAAAATAGTAGTAAGCTATACTAAGTGTTATATAGCCCACTGTGGAGTGTGGTCTTTTCTTTATTCTCCCAAATAGCCCAAAATGGTAAAAGGTTATTAAAAAACCTTTGCCCCCAAAATAACTTTTGGTAGGTAATATAAAAGTTGTAACAAAATTCACTTACCAACAAGTCAGTAGTGATCAAAACACGGCTTGACCCTGATCGGAATTCCCTCATGATCACATCTCTCTCTTTCTGGTCCATGTCACCATGCTGTAAAGTTATAATTCTTAATTGAAGAATCACCAGTCAAGGTCACTTATTTAATTTTATCAGTATGTGTGAGACCAAGCGTCCCTGGGCTGCTACAAGTGAAAAGCAGTCAGGGATAGATAAGAAACAACTTTACTTTGAGCAGGGGGAACGACAACACAGCACAAAGCAGCTCTGTTGTAGTCTAAATCCTGCTGTAATCAAAGTAAAACATTAGAAAAACTTACTTACCAGTGCAGAAACTGTGAAGTCCCTAGCATGCATTTTCTCAGTGAGCCAGTCCACCTTGCGCCTTGTATTGAGAAAGATAACAGCCTGTGTAATTGTCAGAGTCTCATACAAATCACAAAGTGTATCCAACTTCCATTCCTACAGTATGTAAAAAAAAAAAAAAGTAAAAATGTAATAAAGTTATAAAGTTTTTTCATTAAAAATGCAATCTAATAGGTCCAGAAGACTTATTGCACCAAATCTTGAGACAAAGGACACTGGACATTAAGAAAGAGGTCCACCCCAGTCTTTTCCAATCTAGTGCGTTTACTTTTCTTCTTGTGTGTAACTCTGCTAGCATTATTACAAAAACCAAGACATGGTCCTAGTTTCTGAAATTTTAGCACAGTACTTATACAAGAAGGAAAAACTCAAGGCTATACACCATTTTATCTTTATAATTAAATTACCTCTCTTTCAACGTTAATATAAAACTGTTTGATTCCTTCTAGGGTCAACTCTTCTTTCTTAACCAGAATTCGAATTGGATCCCTCATAAACTTTTTAGTAACCTCTAACACATCAGTTGGCATTGTGGCAGAAAGCAACACCACCTTAAAATGGAATAAAAAAAAAAAAAATTATGGTGGAACACCAAAGTATATCACACAGCAATAGTAAAAAATATTTGAGACCAAGTGTAGACTATATGGAGAATTCAGCTAGTTTTGCTTTAAGCAGTACATAAAACACTTAAGTGTCAGTACTGCATGTCCACCAAATCTCATAAGGGGTGAAATGAAACTCTCACCTGAATACTTGTATTTAATTTTTGAAAAATCTCATAGATTTGATCCTTAAAACCTCGGCTCAACATTTCATCTGCTTCATCCAAAACGAACATTTTGATCCATTTTGGAGCTGTTGAAAACATCATACTATCATTTCTGGATTCTCATGGATACAATTTGATTCCCCTAGCCAATCTACCATTAGCATTAAAAAAAAAATCACTATGCTAAGAAAAAGGCAATACTTACAAAGATATCGCCTGTTTAACATATCAAACACTCTCCCTGGAGTACCAACAACAATATGTGGTGCTTCAGCCTGCAGTTTTTGCATTTCATTTCGAACATTGGTTCCACCAATACAGGCATGACAAGTTGCTCCCATATAATCTCCAAGTGCCAGAATTACCTTTTGGATCTAAAAGCCAGAAGCCTCAATTATTATCCTACAGAATATCACAGGATCTATCGATTAACTACCCAAACAATGTCAAGAAATCTGGTCTGCAAACAGTTTTTTTATGCATGCACAGCACAACTACTTCCAAGCATAAAATGCAGACTGAACGAACTGCTTCAAGATAAAATTCCTTTAAAACAATGTATTATTCTTGAACCTTGCCAAACTTGGGATCCTGTTTCTTTACAACTACAGCTAATACTACTAAAAATACTCCCATCATTCTTCAATGTGTAGGATAGGTCAATCAGTAACTTATCACAACTAGGAAAAATGAGTTAAAGAATTCCCGTGGTGTATACTGTGCTTTAGTCTTGTCCTAAGTGAAGCTGACAGCTTTATTAGGAAGATTTACTTCAAAGTCAATGTAACTGAGCTTTGAAAATAGAGCATGCAACAGATGCATCACAAACTACTGAGACAGTCAAATGTTAACCTGTCACTGCAGTTTTCATGTTGCACAACTGCACCCAAACTTAAAAAAAAAATGGGTATACATCTCAGACACTCCAAGAGTAAACTTCGGTTTCTCAAAATGTTGGGAAACAACCCTGCAAACCACTATCTGCATACCCAACTCCTAGTTTAACTGCCTACAGAACTCCCTGCATGCACGGGCAATTCAAAGGAGGGCTCTGGCAGGACCAATTTACACTCAGTTAAATCCTTCAGTTGTGAAACCTGAAATCTATGCAACACGCAAGCAGTTTTTGAACTACACTATCAATACCTGTTGAGCCAGTTCTCTGGTGGGGGCCAATACTAGTGCTTGGGTCTCCTTGAACTCAATCTCCAACTGTTGCAGGATGGAAATAGCAAATGTGGCTGTCTTGCCAGTACCTGACTGAGCTTGAGCAATCACATCATACCCTAAAAAAAGTAGGATACATATTTACCGATCCCACATCAAACGGTCACTTCTAGTTCACACCATGTATTCTATTTGGAACATGAATTATGCCCGAATAATTAAGTGATCAGCAATGAGTATTTTCTTCATTTCAGGTCAGTCCCGAAAGATGATTGCCATCATTT